ACTGTCATGTTAAACTATCCCTGACAAGCCACAAAGACAGTGTTCTGTTTAGGGTGTCATGGGAACGGTGCGAGCAAACACACAGGATCGGAATAGCTGCACATAGTGGGTTCAACACCTTCCTAGCATTTTAACACCGGAGTCCCATAGATCAACAACCAACAACTAGTACCTCGAGAAGAACGACGGTACGATCGCATCCATCGGCCCATCTCGCGACGAGGACACATGCGCGCCGAGCATGCAATGTGACAAGAATTTTCATATTGCCAGCTCTCCAAAGAGAATGATGAGAATAGAGGGGGGAAATATGATGGAGAGAGAAAGAGAGAGAGGGGGAGATGGAGACGGAGAGAAAGAGAGATTGATATTGCGGTTCGTTACACTGTCTGAGCCCAGCAAACGAGGCGATGCTGGTCATGCCGTTAAATGCTACGACAAACAGGCTCAGTTATATTGCACAATTTGTGTTGGTCTTGTTTTGTGCCGTTGTCTAAATCCAAGCTGCGCTGAAAATAAAGCTTCGGCTAGGGTGAGTGAACCAGTAATCGGTTGAAAACTGAGAAGAAAAAGAGAGAAGGGAAGAGAAGAGAAGAGAAGAGAGGAGAGAGATAGAGAGAGCAACAGAGAGATATAAGCCGGAAGAGAGCGCAAAGCACAAAACATGTAAAATGTATAAAAATGAAAATGTCAGAGGATCAAAGGGAACATGGGAGAGGTAGAGAAAAATAGAGGTATACAGATAGATGATGAGCGAGCGAAATTGATAGAGAGAGGACAAAGAAAAGAAAGATAGAAGAACAGAGAAAGACATGTTGAGATATATACATAGAGAGAGGGAGATATAAATATATATATAGAGAGAGAGAAAGAGAGAGAGAGAGAAAGAGAGAGAGAGAAAGAAAGAGAAAGGAGAGAAAGGAGAGAAGTGGAACCGAGAAAGGTAAAAAGAAAGAAAAGAGAGAGGAGATAAATACAGAGAGAAAGAGATAGATAGAGAGAGAGAGAGAGAGAGAGAGAGAGAGAGAGAGAGAGAGAGAGATAGAGAGACAGAGCGAGCGATGACACTGGGAATGGAATCTACCAAATGACATCGGCAGAAGGGAAAGTGCACGTAAGGCAGACAGACAAGGGCAAGGACCCGGGCAGAAATGAGGGGAATGTATCAGACCTACATAAAAAAGCTTCTTGCATTTTCCTTTGGATTACAGGTATAAAGAGAGAAAGAGAGAGAGAGAGAGAGAGAGACAACACGCAAGAGAATGCACACAAGAGGGAGTGCTTCTACTCAAAATGAGACTCGTCAGATATAACTTCTCAAAAGAAAAACAGTCATAACTTACGGATAGTATGCACTAGTAGGAGTATGCACCTTTAAGTCTGTGAATCCACATAAATCAAGCCATTATTTTCTCCCATTTAGTAATGATAGAACTTCTTAGAACATCTTAGAAGGAGTGGAAGAGTACCTTTATAGTTTTCCATCAAACTCATATTTCTAAAATCCAGAACTGAAATCAATTTGTACTTTTCATATTCACTGATTTATCCAAAGTAGAGAGAGAGAGGCAGAGAAAAAGAGAAAGAGAGAGAAAGAGAGAGAGAGAGAGAGAGAGAGAGAGAGAGAGGGGGAGGGAGAGAAAGAGAGAGAGAGAGAGAGAGAGAGAGAGAGAGAGAGGGAGGCAGAGGGAAAAAAATCCCACCCCATCATTATATTCATCTGTTTGGAGATACAAGGGCATTTAGACTACTCTAACGAAGAATTAAGCACTTGCTGCTTCAAACAGACCGGTTTATCGATTCATTCCAATTTTAAACCAGACCTAGCTAGGATAAGCCCATAATAGTACATTGACCTTGGGCCCATCCATCAAACCAGTCTCTACTCAATTAGTGTGAACCTTAAATTCATTAACTCTGGTCCACCCACTGTCTGGGACTGACCTGGACTAGGTCTGCTAAAATGCGAGGCTGCAGTCACAACTGGCAGAAAATAAATTGCTGAAATTTAACTTGTGTTATAGTTCTGCCAGTGTGAATGCTCAGTTTCCCAAAAGTTACTTAAAAAAGTTACTTTAAAAAGTTCCAACAAAAAAATGCACCTTGGATTTAGGAAATTAACCTTCAGAAATAAACCTGGACTAGGTCTAAAAAACAATACTTGAAGGTGAATTTACACAAAATGAAAATTCCTTGAATAGTACTTACGAGTGTCATCTTGGAAGTGTGAATGCAAACATTCCACTAATTTGATGTGAAGCTTTAAACAAACAAAAATCACAAGAATTTAGGAAATTTACTTGGTGGAACTGATAAATGGTAGACAATTACTCTGTATTAGGTGAGGTCATTTTGGCAAAAAATTTCCTGGAAATTAAAATTTAAAAAAAAAAAATTCAGTAGTTTTGCCGGCGTTGCTGCGCTTATTCCAAAAACTTACTCTCAAATGTTTCCACAAAGATTGGCACTGGAATTTTGTATCATAAATGTTTGCACATTTGAGACTATGTATGTGTTTGACATGTCATTTCGACCACTCGTGTAAAAAGGAATATATGTTTGTATCATCTTTGAGCATGCACAAGGAAACCCTGGAGAAAACTAAACTTTCAATTTACATTATCAATCACAGAAATAGAATGACCTTTGAATGTGCATATACGGTAAATCCAGAAACATTAGTGACCTGGAGCTTTTTTCAATCGTTACAATGGGTAATGATCGTTAAAACAGCAAATAATTGGCCATTATAACAATCTCATCTTGTAAATCATCATTTGCAGTAACTGGTGTAACCTGCAAAGTTTCATGATAACGAACATTTCTGGTTTGAGGGTTTCTTGTTCAAGCTGTCTCGCATTCCGGTACATCCTCTAGAAACTTACCAAACTCAGTCAGAAGAAAACTCTGCTAAATTATCGCATAATACAAACACGGCCTACTATGAAACTTGTTTCATTAGCTGTCAAGCAAGCAGCGAATTCACAGCAGGCTATTGACAATCATGTTCAATTAGCTTGCCTGAAAAGAGAGAATTCGAGGGCTCTTTTCTAAACCAAGTCTTGCATGAGCTTGATAATGTCACAAGCTGCTAAGCCTATCAACATTCAGATCACCCCCCCCCCCCCCTCTGTACAGTGACTCATTCGTCATTGAGGAGTATTGAGCTGGTAAGAGGCGAAGAGAAACAAATAATGTCTGTAGCCCAGCCCGCAAGAGGGCAGTAAGTGTTGTGTGTATCATAAGCGGCAGTTACAGCCTTCTTGCTGGCAGCCAACGATAGATACTACAGGCAAGATGTATTAAACAAGCATTTTGAAATGAACTGTAACAAGTTTTACCTAGAGGCATGACATTTTCTCGTTTCGTCTTAATAAGTAATAAGTAAAGCGCCGTCTATTTAGACAATGCTATTCCGAGGCGCACAAGAAAAATAGAAATAATGAGAAAGTTTGGACGAGAAAGTTTGGATGAGTGTCATAGTGCCAAGTACAGGTATTGTTTAAAAAAATAAGATTTCAGCTTGGATTTTAAATATGATGAAAGTTATCTGGAAAAGCTTTTCAGTAGCCTCAAAGATTAAGCCAAGTACTAGATTCCTTTGATTGTATTCTGACAAAAAAAAAAAAAAAACACCGTCGGGAAGCAATACAGCTGGTGTATTCTGTGGTATTTTTCGAACAATGAAAATGAAAAGAGTCGACTCAATCTTCCTGAAAATCACGTACACTGCACACAGAAATGGGTATATGGGACCACACACAAACATGTGGCTTGAAAGTTCGGTACACATTTGCAAGATATTGAGATACACAGTCTCTTCGACTTCTAGAAGAGAAAATGAGAAACTATCAAACTGTAGCTGTTCCCTTTGCTCTCTTTTCTAACAGTTTCCTTTTGTTTTTATGCCTTAACAAGTTGTCTGAATATGTGACCACAGCATACAGACAGCCCGCAAATGTGTTAATTTTTAATGTTCTTGATCTATTGCATGCACCAGATCCAAGATCTATTTTTAAATCTAAATCATAAAACAATAAATGTGTCACACTATGGTGAAGTGAAACCTCGTAAAAAGAGTTTAATGATGAAACTGGATATATGCAAAACCGTAATTCCCTAGGTGTATCGTGTCCTTTTCTATGTTAATTTTTTTAAATTTTTTTTTAAAAAGAAAATTATAGACTCTCATACACCAATTTCAGGGACATATACTTTGTTGAGCAAGGTAAAAGATAAAAACTGAAACACTTAACATGGGCTGTAAAATTTCAATTTTTCCATTGCTAACAACAATATCAGGTTATAATACAGGCTGAATGAGACGACCTGAATTAGGTCTGAAATACTTGACGTTGCCTTTAATCATATTATCCGATACCATTATGGCGATGAAGAGACAAAATGTAATAAATCCTCGTCAGCAGAAAAGCAATCATCATGCACTGTCAAATGTCAATGAAAAATTAATGCTTACTGCTAAGTCAACTTTGAAGGAATTTGAAATACTTTATCAATATGTAAATTCTTTTGCGGTATTGTTAATTACAAATCATGGCAACATCTTAAGAGGTGCCTGGGACTAGTGGACAGGGCCAGACTACGGATCATAGGGTAAGGGTTCAAATCCCTGCCACAGCAGTAACCTCTTTTTGAAAGACATTAACCTACACTTCCTGCTCTCGATCCAGGTTTAGTTTACAGGTATTAAACTGGAAGGAAGAAATCCCTTGAAAACTTGACTGTCTTTACTACTACTCTCTGTATAATGTGCAGCTGTTTGAATAAATAAGTCTTAGAACATGTTGCATTGATTCTTATATCATATCAATTCATTACTACTTTCACTACCCAAACTCCACAAATGAAACAAAAACAAACAAAAACAAAACAAAATAAAACGAAGCACAACAAAAAATATTTATAAAATAAAATCTAAATAAACAAAGCAAACAAATTACAATAAGGCCCCCCTAAAAACAAAGCAAGATGGCACTTACCTTGTATTTCTTGCATATTGAGAAGCCGTGCGTTCTGTCTTCTGAACCTCGTGAGGTGCCATCATGTCGTCTCTTGCCCGCCCTTGGAGCTAGCAGTCTCTCATTTGCTCTTGGCAACGGCTAATGATAAAGAGAAAGAAATTAACAAGACGGAATAATTATTGGAAGAAAAAGTACAGGTCTAATACCAGTTTATATTCAAGCCATGGTAAATTTTGGTTTCCCTCGTATTTCTTTATTGGCTTCTTTGATTTTAGTCGATGAATCAAGATACTCAAGATACTAAGCTGATGTAATTTTTATCCTCTTTAAAGCCTTACTGCACTACTTGTAGCTACTTGCTCCCTCTATATAGAAAACTTCCCCAATAGGTGCCTGTTGGTCCCCCATGATCCTCTATTTCTTATGTTATTTGAGAGGTGAGTTGATGAGATAGCCACCTGTCAGTGACCTCGCTGTGTGGTCTAATCCCTTCTGGCCAAATTAGTACAGATGGCCTTTAAGTGGAATATCAAATGATTACAATGTGACAAAATAATTCAAAGCATTCAAATTTATGGATATTTCATTCCTGGGGGTCGTGACGAGGTGCTCCATTAACCTGATACTTATGAATGAACTACAATACTTGGAATCCATTCTGCATACATGTTATTTGTTGCTATATCGAGGAAGCCTCGGGCAAGCCTTCAGCTTGTCAAGAACAATATTTGTTTCAAAAGTATTCATAAAATTTGAATATGTAATACCAGTAAAACCAAGAATCAGCTGTTTGTACAAGGCCCTGTATATACCTCCTTGAGATTGCTTTAAAAAAAAAATGTTTTAGTCTACAAGAATACCAGAATTAACACATTAAAATCCATAATTTCTCCTGCAAGCGAAGAAACCACAATTTACTACAAGAAAGTAATTACAGAACCTCAGTCACATATATATTCAATTGTGATCATGCTCACACCAGCAATAATTTTTCTCTCAGGCATATCCATTATAAGTAATTTGACAGATACCTTAAGGGCTAAAAACTAAATTCTCTGAAATTATTTATCATTTCATCTTTATATTGCTGCATTATGTTTCTGTTCAGTTTTTATCTGGACACCTTTGGATAAGGGAGAGGGAGGGGTTGTACTTCAAAATCTTCTGAAATGATTGGCCCTAATGAAAAAAATATGATGCAGGGAAAAAAATACATGGGGGCTCAGAGTGAATTAGCCCCTGAAATGCCAAAAGGAGCCCCCGAAAGTCATAAAAGAGCACCCCAAAATTCAATGCAAAACAAAATAAAGAGTGTTATTTTTATGCAAGCGTGGCTTGAAAAGTAGCCCCCAAATTTGTTCAGTATTTTTTCCCCTGATATGATGACCATGTGTTACGCTATCCATGCTAACGATACTGATAAAGAAGAACACCAGAAGAGCAGATTACAAATCAGGAAAAAAAAAGAAGTAGAGTTTGCCTGTCTGAAGGGGGAACACATGCCCAAAGCATTTGTTTTTGGAGCAAAAAGGCATCAGCTAAACTGCATTTGACATATTTAAAGAAATGCTTTTGAAAATAAAAATTCTGATATAAATTTTTTTTTTTAAATAGAAGAAAAATGTCGGTGGATTTTAAGTGGTATATATGCTTTCTACATTAGATATGAAATTAGTTAAGTCAAATTTTGCAAAGAATAGAAAATAATTTCTACATCTTTTTTGTTTCAAGAATACAGAGCTTCTGTAAGTGTGGGTACAGATACAAAAATTCAGGCCCTACATTACAAATAATACATAGGCCTCCAAACCTGTAACAAGGTAAAGCAGCACTTGGATGGAAAAGAGCAACAGTAAGAGAATGAGAGATAAAGAGTGAGCACTGGGTATATGAAAAGAGGAGAGAGAGAGAGAGAGAGAGAGAAAGAGAGAGAGAGAGAGAGAGAAAGAGAGAGAGAAAGAGAGAGAGAGAGAGAGAGAGAGAGAGAGGGGGAGACATCTTTTTTTGCCAGAAAATTAATATCCCGGTGAATGACATTACCACATTTGCAGACAAAAGACGGTTCAATATTGATAACACGTGAAAAAGAATCGACAAATTCACAAGGCACAAGGAGCATCTATAGAAGAAGAAAAAAAAAAGAGACAGAAAAGAGGAAAAAGCAAGAGAGCAAATGGCATAAAGGGCGAGAAGATCCCGGGAGGGTTCATTCAACCTGTCACTAACGAGTGTCTGGGTAGAGCAAATTAGCGACGAACCAGTCTCATTTGCTGCATAATTGGGACAGCAGCCTTGTCCCCGTTTTCCCCAACTAATTAATGGTCTTACCAGACGCAAACGTGATGCCGCAGACCCAGCTAGCTAGCCAGCCAGCAAAGATACCTCGGTCCCCCCTTCCCTGTCCCATCTTCCTCTCCCTCGCTCCCTGCCCGTTAAACCCGCAGTGGGGGAGGAAGGAAGAGGGTTGCAGCGTACGCTGGCTGGCTGCTGAATAGCATTGCCAATTTGATATATGTCGGAGGGAGGAGACTGTGCCGTTTACTCTTTGGTGCAGAATGCGAGGGAAACTAGCTTGATTGATGGCGCACACCTATCTATACCTTGATGCATCATAGCGATGCACTCTGTGGTGGTGATTGCCCTGTAGGAGTAACATTAAAGGGATCCGGTAACTGTCTTACATCCTTTGGAAATAATCCTTGATTTAGCTCATGCTGCAATGATAATTATAAACCTTTAGGCCAGTCAGGAACTCCATGACTTTTACAAGCCGATCGCCTGTCTGATTATCAAGATATTAATGATTGGAATTACAAATTTTGAAAACCGTTCACTGAATGGTTTTCATTACACTACAGTCTATTGGGGAAAGCGAGTATGGTAAAACCGGTCACTCAAAGATTTTTACTTTTTTGAGGCACTTCTTGATCATTTTGAAGCGCAATTTTTTTAGGGCTTCAACATTACACCATATCACAGACACTGGTAACATGTAGGACCATGTATCTCAGATTTAACATTGTTAAACGATCCCTTTAAAGGCATTGTTTAACAATGTTTCCAGTTTTACAAATCTGAGATGCATGGCCCTACGTGTTATCAGTGTCTGTGATATGGTGTAATATTATAGCCCTAAAAAAATTGCAATTCAAAATGATCATTAAGTGCCTCAAAATAAGATAAGATATTTCAGTAGTCAAAGAGTGGGCACGAACTGAAAGAGTTCACAAGGATAGTATCCTGGACACGTGAAGCCATGCAGTCTCTGATGACGTCAAGGGCATCATATTTTTATCTCAAACATGGTTTTAATTAAGCAGCTTTCTGGAATCTCTTCAATACAAATAGAATTTTCTAGAGCAAGTGTCTGAAAAAGAGAGGAAGAAGAAGATGTAGAAGTAGAGGACGAATAGAAGAAGAGGAGAAGGAAGAAGAAGGAGAAGGATGAAGAAGAAGAAGGAGTAGAAGGAAAAGAAGGAAAAGAAGGAAAAGAAGGAAAAGAAAGAGAGAAACAAGAAAAGACCCATCGCCAGTATTAAGCCTATGGTAATAAGATATTTCAGTAGTCAAAGGATTAAGAACAAGAGTGGGCACAAACTGAAAGGCTTCACAAGGATAGTATCCTAGACACGTGAAGCCATGCAGTCTCAGGTGCCGTCAAGGGCATCATGTTTTCATCTCAAACATGGTATTAAATAAACAGCTTTCTGGAATCTCTTCAATACAAATAGAATTTTCTAGAGCAAGTGTCTGAAAAAGAGTTATTTTTAAATGGAGATTACATCTTGTAGTGATTCAGAATATTAGTTTAATTGAATGGAAACAGTGATATATCACAAAAACTAATCTATTGAGAAAAATGAGTATGGTAAAACTGGTCACCCGAAGATTTTTTACTTTTTGAGGCACTTCCTAATCATTTTAAAGCGCAAATTTTGAAAGGGCTTTAATATTACACCATATCACAGACACTGAGAACATGTAGGGCCATGCATCTCAGATTTGTCAAACTGGAAACATTGTTAAACGTTGCCTTTGAAATACTTTGATGATTTCAAAACCTCACGATATATATCAATTCATATCAGTAAAAAAAATACACAGGGGCTCAGGGCGAATTTGCCCCCGAAATGCCCAAAAGAGCCCCCGTAAATTTGCATAGAGTTCAATTTTAGAGTGTTATTTTTATGCAGGCAAACTTAAAAAGTAGCCCCCGAAAAAGAAATATTAATTTTTCCCCTGATTCATATGTACCGCATTTATAATCAACCTTTTCCATTTGCTCTGCGACAATTTCTTTCACAATATATAATGGCACGATGGTGACTAAACCTCAAATGTAAAAAGGTCTGGCAACCATTATTTCCCTTCTCAGCCATTACACGGGGCATTCCGTGATAGACTTGGACACCAAGGGGCTGTCCATTTGATGAAAGGCTTCCAAAAATGTCAGAGTCGATGATCCTTCCTGTCTGGCTTTTAATGAGGGATTAGGGGCATCGTTGTCTTGTGTCACAGCACCTGTGAGCTAAACTTGGCTCTACTCTGACCTTGAATAAGTCCGCATGACTGACAGCAGGCAAGCGTTTTTCTGGGGCTCCATGCCCCATGTCACACCTCCAAAATCGATCGACCATCAAAGGATGAGATCGCGGCTTGTCAGGTGTTAATGATAATAATAATATTTAGCTCTTATATAGCGTTTAATACAATGTGCTTTACAAATATACTATTACCCTGGTTATTGGATTCAGTGCTTGCCCACAATCTCCACTCCCTGGGGAGCATTCCAGCCAGGTGTTATGAGTCTTATGAACACAGTCAAACCTGTCTATTAAGGCCGTCCAAGGGAAACACAAAAATTGATGACTGTAGACATGTGGCCTTTCTAGAAAGGTTCTTCAACACATATTTCCTTCAGGAGGCACTATCGGTGACCACTGTAGGCAGGTGGGCTCTACAGAGGAGATCTATTCATGTATGTATAATAATAGTTCATTTTTATAAAGCGCATTTCAGCAGTTGATGCGGGGAAGCAATAACAAAATTAAACTAGATGGAACTTCGACTGCGCGCAGTCGAAAATGATGCCTCCGTCAAAGAGCAATTTTACAAACCAAAACAGCAGAAATTTTTCAAATTCCAGTTCAATTGTAATCCATTAATGGGTTCTCAGAATATCGTGATTACAAGCAATTTCTCATATACATATATGACCCTTTGATCTTTGACCTCATGACCCTAAAATCTACTCAGTTCTTTGGCTCTGCAAGATGTCCTGAGTTAAATAGTAATCCTGTCAGTTCTAATGAGAATGCGTTCACAAGCTATTTTTGCATACATAATGAGCCCATGACCTTTGACCTCATGACCCAAGAATCTACTCAGTTCATTGGCTCTGCAAGATACATACATGATCTAAGTTTGGCAGGAATCCATCAATCTGTTCTAATGATAATGCGATCACAAGCTATTTTTGCATACATAATGAGCTGCATGACCTTTGACCTTGAGCTCATGACCCCAAAATTTAATCAGTTCATCGGCTCTGCAAGTAACATACATGACCTAAGTTTGGCAGGAATCCATTAATCGGTTCTTCAGATAACGCGATCACGAGCTGTTTTTGCATACATAATGAGCCCTGTGATCTTTGACCTTTGACCTCGTGACCCCAAAATCTATTCAGTTCATCAGCTCTGCATGATACACACATGACCAAAGTTTGGCAGGAATCCATCAATCGGTTCTTCAGATAACGCGATCACGAGAACGGGACGTACGTACGGACGGTACGACGTACGGATGGACAACCCGAAAACATGATGCCTCCGGCTACTTCGTAACGGAGGCATAAAAACACACAAACCATAGTTAACTTCAGATATTTTTCTGTGATTTTCATGGTTTTGAGCATTTGTATGCAAGTAGGTGTGACTTACAAATTATACAAAACCTTTGTCCTAATAAAATAAGGGTAATGTAATGTATTTGTTGTTTGTTTGGTCCTTTGTGGCTCAGATGTTCATTGAGCTCTTCTTCTTTAATATGACACAAATCTGGATCTCCTTTTCCTTCTTTAAAACTTCATATCCTGTATATCTATTCATTAACAAGATATAAAGGCAAACGCAGTATACATCAGCAGTGAGAAGTGCGGTTGATGAAACTAGGAAGGATGCAGGGTTTCTCAGTATTGTTTCAATTTTTATTTGCCTGGTGCCAATTTTGTTTGGCCACATTAAAGAAGAAAAAAAATTGAAAATTATATCACTTGATTGACTAGACAAGAGAAGTGTACAATAATGATGAATCCAGAGCGGATATAGGGTGCTCAGACGACATCAATTTGCACTTGCCTAATGTTGGTTTTGTTTGCCGATATCTTTTAGAATAATTGTTGAAATGGGTGGCTTACCCAAACATGACTAGTCAGAGTTTAATGTATTTTTCAATTTTGCAAATTTGTTTGCACAAATGAGCAGGCTGGTTGCGAAGAACCTTGAAACATATACTATAAACATACAAGATACACTATTACAGTTAAAGGGCAATATGACCCTTGTAATAAGTTACTTTGTATGAAAGAAGAATAATAAGAGAAAAACATAATGGCGAAAGACTGAAGTAAATTTGACCGATGATTAGAAAGTTATGAATGTTTGTCTGTAAGTGCCTTCTCATTGGGGCATTACTCAAAATATGTTATGGCTAGCATGTTATTATAGGTTGCCTAACTAGACCCTTATGAGTCATAATTTTTTGGATTTTAATTTTTTTTCTACATCACCGAGACATTACAAATTTATCCAATTTGAAGAGCCCTTACCTATAGTGATTACAATTTTCAAAAATTGTAATTGTAACTTTCTAATGTTTTGTCTAATTTCATTCAAACCTTCACCAGTCTACTTCTCTAATATTTCAGCTTTCCTCTAGAATAGGTTGGATTTCCCTTTCATGTTTGCATGTGAAAATTAAAGGGAGAGAAGAAAAAAGAGAGAGATAGAGAGAGAGAGAGAGAGGGGAGGGAGGGGAGAAGAGATATAAAGTAAAGGTGATGTAGTTGAGTGGTTTAAGCTCTTGACTGGAAATGCAAAGGTCATAGGTTCGATCACCGATCCCGACACAGCACGTATGCCCTTTAATGCTCCCCAGGGATTTGAGAATTTGCATACATTGTGTGAGGGAAAGCCTAAACTGGGTAATGATATTCTGTAACGCACATCATCATCATCATCATCATCATCATCATCACCATCGTCATCATCATCATCATCATCATCATCATCATCATCATCATCATCACCATCATTATGATCATTATTATAATCATCATCATCATTAGGCCTAAAAAAAAAGACGTTGTATTGCCCTTTGTCGGCTTTTAAAAAAAGCTTTTGTTTTTAAAACCATTTTTTAGAAGAAAAAAAACGTTTTAAAGCATTCAAAACGGAGAAATACCAACCAAAAGAGGGAGTAAAAAATAAAAAAATAAAAATAAAAAAAAAGAAATTAAAAAAAAGAAAAAGATTTCTGACCGACCGACCCATGTTTTGGCACCTAAAAGGCAATACAACATCTTTTTTTTATAGGCCTTATCATGATTTTTATTATTATTTAAGAATTCAAGATAGATCCAAAGAGGATACAGATTGCATAACAATAAAAAATACAAATTAACAAAAAATCTGTTTTCATGACTTGTTGACGACTTGTGCAGAATCTGTATTTTCTTAAGGCCATACAAACAAACACCAATTTCAAATGCAAATTTATTTCATGTAGTCAATGAAACTAAACTTGAAATAAAAATAAACAAAACAAAAGAGACGATAACATTTTGTCAACAAAATGTTCGCCTTACCAGGTCTCATCCTTCTCTTTAACTCTCAAAAACACATCACCAATAGCTTTTATGATTCCGTTCAAGACAAGTGATAAATGCCCGCATAAATTGGATGTTAGCTGCGTTTAACCCTTGACCCGGGTGATACAGAGCTACCTTTCAAGAAAAGTGTTATTTTGGAGAGAACGCTGCGGGGGAGAGGTCTCCACGGGGGGTCCATTACCACTCAATTGAATTCTGGGACAAAACTTGGATTATAGGAAGAGTTTGATTTGGAGTGAGGGAGGGATGCGATCTGGACGATTCCAGACCCACACTGTGTCTGTCTTGTTCTTATACGCCAAGCAACAGACTGCTTACAGTCCAAACACCTTCGGCTATCGCCTCGGGCGTGTTAGACCATTCCAAAGGTACCTTGTGTGGGTAATTCTTACTAATGCCCTAGTAATAAACAAAAATAGCATGTTAAGCTACTAAGCCTACCTTGGTCTTGTCTATGACGGTCAACCAGGTCCCGTCTTGGACCAGGAGTTTGTCAGGGTCGGAGGGGTCAAAGGTCATCTGATGGATGACACTGGTCTTCTCCAGCCAAGCTTGATGGAGACCCTGCTTGTGGACGGACCGGCTCCAGGGGGTGTACTCGTGTTTGGTGATGTCATACTCTGCGATCTAGAGGATGAAGTTGAGGAAGACCATTGAAATTCAAATTTTACACGCCATGTTAAGTTATGATGATCCACTTACAACAAATATAAAATTATAACAAAGTGAATAAAACCAGGATTGGTGGAGACCCTGCTTGTGGACGGACCGGTCATAGGGCGTGTACTCGTGCTTGGTGATGTCATATTCTGCAATCTGAAGGATGAAGTATATATATAAATCTAAACACATGGAAAATTTCATATTGCAGGTGCTGGAGGGTAGTTCAATGGTAGAAGTAGAACATCATCACATTCTTCTATATTTCTGCATGACATAAAGTAGCTGCTAGTTTTTCACAGACATTTTACACGATCAGGGGTGTTGGCTCAGTCAGTAGAGCGTCTGCCTCACAACCGGGAGGTCGTGGGTTCGAACCCCCGGCCGCGTCATACTAAAAGACGTTAAAAGACTGGGACTTGCTGCTACCTTGTTTGGCATTCAACAATAAGGGATAGAGCAACGTTGATCTAGCGCTGCTCAGTGGCTGCCGGGCTCACGATCAATTGGGCAAAAAGAATTTCCATTTTCAGTTTAACTTAATAAAAGATTATTATGATTATTATTATTATCAGGGGAATATAATAATATGATTGATATCTTAGATATATAATACATCTGTAGAGTGCTTAAAGGCATCGTTGATGTATGAAGCGCTATCTAAACAAGAATGTTATCATTCTTGTTACCCTTATAAATTTCTTATATAAACAATTGCTGCAAATCTTAACATAAGTTCTGATCAATAATTTGTGCTTGTGTTCTAAAATAAAACCTAGCAGTATCTAAACAAATTTTGAATGCCCAAAATACATATGTATTGAAAGAGAGCAGTTACAAGCGTTCAATTTTGTAATCTTTCATTTGTCCGGGAAATGTGAAGTTGTAAGCAAGGATCATGCAATTACAACTGGTTTGAACTTGAGATGGCGCTATTCCAGAGAATCTTTACACAAATTTAGTATCACGCTTAGGAGTTTTTATTAACGACTAATTTGGAAATCTACCTGGATGGATGTGTTGCTGTGGAGTTGATTAGTCAATTACTACCGTAAATCTCCGTGTATAAGGCGCACCTCTGTATAAGGCACACCCCTATTTTTTTGGGAAAAAAAAAAAAAATAGTTTTTTTGTTTTGTTGTTGTTGTTGTTTTGTTGCCGAAAACCCAGGCGGGGAAGGACCTTCATTTTACATCGAGGTGCAGTAGAAGTTGGGAACTTGTCACAAATAATAGTAACAACAGTCTAAGGCTTCATGATACCAAGTGTCCCACACCAGCCTCTTCACATCACCTAGCAGAAGCACCGTGTTCTATGCCAAACATCAATAATCATGCATGATATGAATAGCATCCTCTATCTTTCTAATAATGGAGTATCTAGGATAGAACCTTGTGGTACACCATTTGTTATAGAAAACATAGAAAACATATGCGACATTGCCAGGCATAGCGCCATAAATCGAAACTAAAAAAAACTAAAACTCGTACCTGTGTATAAGACGCACCCCCGACTTTCAAATTTTTTCGGCGGCAAAAAAGTGCGCCTTATACACGGAGATTTACGGTACTTACATTTCTGTCTGTGTAAGCTACCGCTAGTTGCTTGCTGGACGGGTGGAAGGCCAAGCAACATGGATGAACCTTGGTGTGAGGCAGCACTACTGATTTGATCTGTAAATTGGACACATATTGATAACAAAGTGACCCATGGATGGATGGCAACTTGCAATTAAAAGGTTTATTAGAGCATTTAATAACACTTGGTACTGCAGTTTTAAATTTTACCTTCAACTCACAACAGATCTTAACGATATTTGATAGAAAAAGTGACAAAGACACAGAAAGTTATGTAGTCATCACAGATGACATGAATTTCTTTCATTCATTTTGTAGAAAAACAGATGGATAGATGATTAGGTAGCAACTGCAATTAAAATGTTGCTTTAAATGAAGCATTGAATAATTCTTGATACTGAAGGTCTAACATGTACCTGTCAACTTAAAACGGGGCCCCGTCTTATACAGAGAGATACAATTGATCCAAACCAATGGCTAGTCCTCCAATCAATTGCAAGTTTGCAGTCTCCTATCTCTTATGTACATAATTGCGATTGATATAAACTCTTTGTAAGATGGGGCCCAGATGTGGTAGAGCAGTGGTCTTGTAATCTAGGGGCCCATCTTCAAAGCCCAATTTGTGCCTTTTGGGAAAGTAATAATCCTCATTACTAAGTCATTAATCATAGTCAATGATTCAATGGTTCAATTTATTATTTTTCTCAATCATAAAAAAACAAACACAATACAATGAAAAGGATATACACAGTGTGAGATATACAGAGTCTGTCAACATATGTGATTAAAGAAAAACGGAAACTACTAAAAAGTTTGCTAAATACTTGTAAGGCATAGTTCCCAAAGTATAAAAAATACAAGAGAGTCAAAAACATTACAAAATAAGAGTATCACTTGTGTACAAAAACTTCTTTATAAAAAGCTTTGGTGGTATGACGAACACCTTGAAAGTTGGCCTTTGACCTTATTCTCACCTTTTTACTGTTGAGAGGTAAGACAGCTACCTTGCCCTCTGACCCGACAACAGCCACCCTCTCCCCGTCCCCGTTGACCGCCAGCGCCGTGTACGGCCCCTGCACCTCTGTGATGGGTAAGGACTGGACCAGGGGCTGGGGACAGTCCACACCGTCTGGACCGTCCACGGTGAGGAGCTGAAGACCCGCTGATCCCGTGCAAACTGCCGAGACTAACTTGGAAGAGTCCGGGGTGAAGGCCAGGTGATGCGCTGGATGCAGGTTAGAAGGGATGGTTGGGACCTGTGATACAAAAGAATTGGAATGAAACGATTAATGACTTATTATTGTACCTCAACATTAAAGAGAGAGGATGAATGCTTGTATGTAAGAAACAAAGGGGACCTACAGCTTTAGGTCCTAACTCAGGGACTTGGTAATGAAGAAGTCATCTGTTAGGAGGCGGGAGGGTGTTAACTCTGCAATATGATAGGAGCCCTGCTGTCTACAAACAATTACTGATACCTTACTGCAAGGCACTACAGCATTCATTCTTATTCAAACCCAGGACCTCCTAGTTGTGCAGCCACTGCTCTACCACTGAGTCATACCTGCTAACATTTGAAAACAAGAATTTGGAATTTCTAGCATGGTATGCCTTTGAAAATAAGAAATCTGTATCCTTAACAGGCGTTCGCACATGCGTACAAAAAAGCGAATACAAATCCGCTGCACATGATAAAACAAGCTTAATTTGGCTTTAGTAAGTAGCAACAACCCCCCTCCCCCCCCCAAAAAAAAAACCTGAATTTTTAAAAATCTGAATATTCTGGATTATTTAGAAGGGTCGGCAGGTACGCTGAGTGATCATGTCTTATTCGATGCTTGCACTGCTCATCAGGATGTTGTACAGTAAATTAAAAATATAATCTTCTATTACGCCATTATCATAAAAAATTGATGTAGAAAAGAGAAAGATATTTGCCTTCACCCCTGTGCCCATTTTTGTTAATATCACACCAAGATACAGCATGAACACTTTTCAAGTTGGAATATATTTTTCCTGCTCTCCCTCAAAATTTCTGCTCTTGATGATAATGTGTGATGCATAGTCCGAAAAAGATTTGGACTAATCCCTAACTATTTGTGTCATTAATGACAAGTATTTTGCAAGTTTAAATAAACTCTCAATTTAAAGCATAGATGGAGTGACTAGTGAGTAGACTAATCGATGCACTCGCGTGGATGAAAGGGGGGGGGGGGGGAGGGGGGTCATATTGACCCCCCCCCCCCCTCGGTAAAAACTTGGTCTGAAATAGCCTGGTTAGAATAGTTTGGCACTAGTTTGGCCAGGAGGGTTTAGACATCCCTGCATGGTCACTGACAGGTGGTTATCTCATCAAATCATAGCTCTCAATTAACATAAGAAAAAGGGTCAATGGGTACTGCTTTGGCATTGTTGGTTGTATAGAGGGCGCAAGTAGCTATAAGTGCAGTGGGGCTTTAAATGATTGGTAGACTTTCAATCAAACCTATAATGAAGAACTCACCCTAGTTATTGAGAGTGGGTTGTGAGTGACGTGATAGAATCTGATTTTCTCCACATCCGAATAAGCTACCCAGGTTCCGCAACTACTGATGGTGCTGCAGACGATCTGTTCCACACCCTGCAAGAAAAAAAAAGGAAATAAAAACCATTAAAGATACTATGTACCTTTTGCAGCCAACATCAAATTCTGTAGAACTTTGTGAGAATTGGGAATACGTCATGTATGTCCTGTCTGTGAAATTTAAACATTAGCAGTTTCCTAGTATTCAAATTATGCAAGGAAACCTGTTAACCTTTGAAAAGACATTTTGGCAATTTCATGCTGAAAAAAATATCATTCAGTATGATGATGTTCAAGTAATATATTTGTCTTCTTTATAATTTCTAAAATTTTTCTTTGTGTTTCCAAAACACTTTTGATGGATTTTTAGTTGACACCCCCCCCCCCCCGTTTTATTCTCTTTAAATGGCCCAAAAATATTTATAGCAACTACAAATATGACAAATCCGAAAAATGTTGCTGTCAAATTGAACAAGTATAGTCTGAATAAAACATTTTTTACGCCTTTTACCAGACAAAGCATTTACATCATATGCATCAAGTGAACTTAAATAATTGATGAAAATGTGGGCACATGGATGTTGAAACGAGCATTAGAAAATACAGAGGAAAAAGAAAATGATATCACGCATGGTACTACGTGTACATCTTTGGTTCAACGACCGCAGAACTCTTGCATGAGAACACGTATCCAAAATCTCATTCTTGGAAGTCATGTTAAGTCTGTGCTGCTCTGCCTGACAATATTTGTCCATGTTAACCCACCCCTTTCCTCCTACCATCGAACCAAACTCTGGACCAGTTGCCATGGCAACATATAAGATAACTGGTTGCCTTTGGATTGAACCTTCTATTGTGGTCAAGATGTAATATTCACTATGAACATGACGGACAAAGAAAGAGGACAAAATATACAGTTCCTCATTCTACCCTCAACAAGTGCTGTGGTAGACAAAGGAACATCCCTTCGCTGCTATTATGTAAAAATGTGTAGAACAGGTGTCACATGCATATTCATCTGTTCCAGAGGGGATTGTGGGTATGAGGGGACCTGACCTAGAAATAGACGTTCATAATCATTTTCAGATAGATAGTTATTGTTCACACAACATTTTTGGGGGGAGATGCAGATTCAGAGATCATCTGCCAAATATCAGAGTCAAAGCCTAACTCAAAGACAGAATATGATCAGAAGATTCAGAACAGATAACAATTATACAGAAGGCTTGCGGGTGCACCATGTGAGAGAGAGGGGGGATAGAGGAGTCCTGAAAAGGACTCTCGGTAATCTTTCTTGAGGGTGTGTTAGTCCTGAAAAGGACTGTTGGTGTAGTCTTGAAAAAGACTGTTGGTTATCTTTCATAGCTTATAGTTCTAAGGAGAACTCCAGCGCTTGGAGAGGATGAGTGGCGGGAGTGGCTCGACATTTCAAACAGGTTGACTATCCGTCATCAGGAGTGGGGAGATCGTCAGGAGCTTACAATTAGTTATTTAACTCTTTCATTTCATACACTAAACAAATCATTTTGGTTTATTTTTGTTAGCATGAATGAAATCACTGGCATTTTGTTTTCTTTGGGGATGGCAAAACAACCAATGCCCCCTTCTAAAACTTATCTCCCATTCCTTGTGGACATAATGTGTTAAAATAACCTCTAATTCTGATTTGTATACCCCCCCCTTATCTATAACTCAAAAGGTACCTCAAAAATGTATTTAGAAATTCTAGTCAAAAGTGTTTTCAAATCTTGAATCTGTCAAAGAATGACAGTGCCTGAAATACCTGAGAATATGGGCCTAAAAATGTGCATCAAAATTTGTAGTTAAAAGACATATTTACAGTCAACCTAGTTTTATTCTCGCTTGAAAATGTTAAAATAGTATCTTTGATTCAGAAACATATTGAGCGTATATCCTTTGGAGCTGATAGCAACGAAGACCTTGTCTATTATTAAAGTCCAGGAAAATATTGGAATCCTCCAAAAAGCAATAGTTTATCCCCGGCTTTCCTTCCACGGGGACCTAGTCTAGACGCAAACTTCCTGTCCAGCTGAAGGAAGCAGAGAGCAGTTCTTAATCAGGCCTGTCCTCATCAGACCGAAGTTGCAAAAATAAACCACTATTTTAACTAGCCTGATCTCCAATTAGCCAGCTAATTTGCATCTTCATCAGCCCACAGTTGCAATTAGCAGGCTATTTGGTTGAGAAAATAACTTGAGAAATCTTGGTCTTGCTTCCAAAATAGCCCGCTATTTGGGAAATAGCGGGCTAACTTGCGCCCTTCCGAGCTAGTTTGTGATGAGCGTATCGTCTGGTGAAGACGCAATTCGAGCTTCAGGAAAATATCTTGAGTCTAAAAATAATGGGTTATTTTGCAACTTCGGTCTGATGAAGACAGGCCTAGAGTGCAGTTCATAATCAGGGATCTTGTGCTCTCCGAGAAGATTTCATTACCCATCAAACACCACTTCAAGACCATAATTATCTGAGCATCACTGCCATACTTACTACTATTACAACTATTGCATAGTCTGTTACTCTTGTGCATGTATAATGTCTGTGAATTTTTGTAGAGTTGCACATTTAAGAGCATCCAAAAAATGAGCTGGCAATGCATATGGAAAAATGGATTATATTAAAGTAGCCTGTAATAAGTATTGCAAAAACAGTAAGTCACAAAAATGTTTGTGTCCCTGTTATTTGCAGCAATACCTGTTACCAAAATAATTACCAATAGTTATTTTCTTGTTTCATTAATACTGAAAAATTAAAATGCCCCTAACTAATTCAAAATATTATAGATTAAAATGAGCTTGAACGGTTATCCCAAATGGGCAAAATCCCAAAAGAGTTGTTAAATATACTTGTCAATCTGGAGATCAAATTATTTTATTTTAGACAAATGTTCTACAAAGGAAGATTTGTTGATGTTCATTGTTGTTTTACAACATCTACTACGGTATAAAATACTCTACATCTTCCCAAAGATTATGTTCATGAAATTTGAGAAGCTGCATGTATGTCCTTGTGTAAAATGCCCCTGAAGCATAAAAAAGTTTGAAATTGAGTGCCAATCGAAATAGGGATGTCAGCAATTGTCCTATTTTTTAAGCCCCCTGGAAACTGGGACACCTAACTGACCCTTTAGTTTCACACTGCGTAAGGATATCTTTAAAGTATCGATGACATTTTGAGAAGTTATTTGTACATGTACGTATTAGTGCATTGGAAATGTAAACGTCTGAAACTAAGTGCTAATCAAAATAGGGATGTCAGAAATGTTCATATTTTTGAAGCCCCCTGGAAACTGGGACGACTAACTGACCCTTCAGTTTCACACTGCGCAATAATACCTATCGAGCATCGATGACATTCTGAGAAGTTATCTGTACATGTACATGTAAAATCATGAAAGTAAGTGCATATCAAAATAGGGATGTCAGCAATTGTCCTATTTTTGAAGCCTCCTGGAAACCAGGACACCATAACTGACCCTTCCTTTACACGCTGTAATGATATATCTACCAAGTATCAATGACATTTTGAGAAGTTATCTGTATCTAACCGCCCACACCACGCCGTCTTCTATTATAATGAAATAGTAGAATCAAGCTCCGAGTGAAATCAGGTTTTTGTATTGGTCCGCTAGCTATGACTTTCACTCGGGGGAGGGGTTAGTTCAAATAGACCACCGATTTAAAATAAAGTCAAAGAATAAAAGCGCTGGGACACGATATAATATTTAAGGTGTCATATATGTTTATTTACCAATCACTGACCTGTATCAACTACTCTTCTAACAATATTTATCATCAAACAATGTCATGAAAATAGTATCAATAATCCAGAAGATCTCTGTCTTCTCTTCAACATACATTCATATCAAAATACACCTTAAGCTAAAATATACTTTAAAAGCCTTAACTTGTTAATCTAAATAAATGGGACATTAAGGGTTGGGAAGAAGGAGGTTAGTTAGAAATTGTTAGTACTGTGGCCACTTACATACAGCGCGGTAGACTATTCGCGATTCGAGTGGATGTACCGATTCGGCTGTTGCAGACGAGATGAAGAGATGGACAACGATGCTACGGTGCTACGGGTATGGGAACAGGAAAGATGACGACGTCGAAGACGGGAATGGAATCGGGAACACAGTTGCGGGATCAGGACGACAGGATCAAATTCAGGAACTCAGGATCAGAATCAGGAACACAGCATCAAATTGGCATAGGGTTAATGGTACCTATTTACCGACGTATCTGCAATCAATGTTCCTCCTATCAATGTTCCTCCTTATGAATCAGTTCCTGACACTTTCAGATTAAGTTCCCTTGAAGTATGTTGTATAATTTAGTTGAATATTCCCGACTTGGTGATTGAAGTGACTTGGCTTTCTTGAAGGATTCTGGAACAACGTTGTACTTCGATAACTTTGTGAGTCCAGAACTTGTTGATTTTCACATGCAGCAATTAGTTGTTAGTTCAGGGACAGCTTGAGGGAGATGGGAGGACAGGGGTACAGGTAGAGGAGACCAAGTCGGGGTGGAGCCAAGTGATCAAAATATCCATGCAAACTACTTTTATACCTCATTAAACATTCATACTCGACTTTTCCTCTGATCATCTTATTGGTCATTACTTTAAAAAGGGGGAAGGGGTCTAATCTAAAACTCTACTCTTATTGGTTCAAGGTCACCACTCATGGCCAAAGATACAGTCCTATGAGGTGTTCTTCAAAGAGCATATTTCTAAGAATAGTCACAAAGCATGAATGACCACAAAGAGCCCGTCTGATATCTAAATCCCCTTTCATAGAGCTTAATCTCTATTATTACAGATTTATGAATGGCATTAAAGTCTAGTATTGTATCGAACAGGATGGATTAATACTGTGAATGGCAATAGGGTCATAAAGGCTATATCCCAGTGTGGGAACAGGATAGCTTCAATAGATAGCTTCAACTAGACATGCCAGCACATTTTATAAATACATCTATAACAAATTAAGACAAAGAAAGATACAGCAGAAAGAGACAAAGATAAAGATAGAGAGAGAGAGAGAGAGAGAAAGAGAGAGAGAGAGAGAGAGAGAGAGAGAGAGAATACAACAAGAAGAGAGAAGGACTTTGAGCAATATTCCACCATGTTACACCTTCCCCTCTGCCACCAGAATGGCGTCCGCGCCATTCCCAATAATAATTCTAAAATTATGCAATAGTAATTTTGAATTTATATTGAACACCAATAAAACAATAGCTGTACATAATATCACAAATCTTTCATGACACCTGCTAAGACACCTTATTTTACTAGTGACCTTGCTTAACATCTTGTTTATCAAATACAAAATATATACTTAGAATATAAGAAAGTATACACAGAAAACACACCAGTACAAATGATAACAATCCAAAATAATTTCTTCCACACTCCACATGTGTGAATTGGATTGATATCTTCCACTCAGATTAATTATACTTCAATTATTACTTCGTCTTACTACAACAGCAATTTCAAATCAAACATGGTTTAAAATCAAAATGCAAAAATTCAATTAAGTTTCAATAAAATAATTATCAGAAATCTGACTATCAACTTATGTGACTCTGGTATAACAAGTAACAAGTTAAAACAACCAAAACAAAACAAGCGGAACTATATTTAAGTTCGCCTTAATATTAAATACAACATAAGCACACTAAAAGTGCCATGAGATACAAATACGGTAAAATCATCATTTCTTCCAAACTACAATCAAATTTGAATAAAAAGTGAAATGTAAAATGGTCTTTGACATCGATCTCTC